CCTCTTAACTTGATATATGTGGCATTGTCACTTTAGAAAGTTCACAATCGGCCAATAGTGAATTCACTGATTTACCTTTACAGTAAGCATTCTGCCCTTATTTTCGGTATTATGCAGATGGCATTGTCAAAGCATGTGACTTAGTGCACATGCATTGTTTTCGTCTGTTTTCTGATCTACAATGAACCAAAACTGCATCTCTTATTTGATATATTGGGATTGTCAATTCAGAAGTCACAGGAAACAAGTGCAATTCACTGATTACCTTTACAGTGAGCATGCCCTTATTTTTGTCGGGTATATGCAGATAGCACTTGTCAAGTCAAGTGACTTCGGTACACAGTATTGCCTTTTCTCTATTTTTTCATTCTACGTTGACAAACTCATGCCTTGTCGTATATGTGGGATTTCATGCCAGAGGCATTTATTTCCTATGGTTCTTTCCTTCAGTGTCTCTTTCTAAAGTCGTTCATAAACCAACCTACAAAAAGACTAAAGGCTGAAAGACACAACCTTACAACTCATTTCGCCCTACAAAAATTATCATTCAGGTTGCTTTAAAAATTAGCATAGCGCCTACACGATCATGGGCAAGGGAGTGCGAATCGCAGAGGGTAGGAACTGCAAAGCGCGGTGAACCAGTTCACGACGAGAAGGGGAACGGGGACATGCGCGATGCTGAAGACGAAACAACAATACATATTTTAAGATTATGCTTGTGGTTATCGCTGATAGGTTTGGGGAAACGACATTTTTTGATGCCCAAGTTATTATCGAGTTCAAGGAGGTTCATGTATGGAGCCCATCTGACAATCAAACAGGATATGCGTTACTGACACTTCTCGTCTGAAGTTGACCCGCATTATTTATAGCAGCAAGTACAACTGGAAACCTTAACGTCGGGAAAATCAACATTAATCGTTGCCAAAAGCATGTTCTGTTGAGATCCAAAAGGACAGATCTTGATAATGTTGCACTCGACTACTGTGAAATACTATCAACCATCGAACGATTTCTCAAATGCGCTGCGTCGTAGGTTAGCCCGCGATATGCAACTACACATAGTTAAGAAGGATGCCCAGAAGAACAGAACAGAACCAAATGTTGCGGCTATCAAGGGTATCATGGAGGATTCTCAGCTTGTCTTTGATGCTGAGTTTTCGGATTGTTCAGACTCTGAGCCACCTGCCGATTTAAGCGCGAATTAGGTGTTAATGTCTACACTTCGGCAATATAACAACTTGCATTAATATGTAATGTCTGTGTTAGACTAAGTGTTTCCCTAATGAGTTTGTCAGATTGTCTACCTAATATTTGTCTGTCTAACTATTATGTTTATGTATTGTGTGTTCAGTTCATCGTGTCTAGGATGTATGTATTGTGTGTTCAGTTCATGGTGTCCAGAATGTATTTTTGTGGGAGACTTATGTCTGTACTACCTATGTAACTGAAAACTGTTAGATTTGCAACTTCAGTTATGTTGTTTTCACGCATGTATGAGTATTTAGTAAATTAGTGACTTCTTATATTATGTATTAAGTTTTATTACAAAAATGTTGACAAAATTTATTTGTGGAGAAATACACTTTTATTTGTATTAAGCTTTCAATGTTCATCAAATTTTCGGCCCCAAACAGTGAAAACGTGTTTTGTAATAGCGTTTTAGCCTAATTTGGAAATTCCGTCCAAATTAGGTCTAGTTTGGGAATTAAGATGATAATTTGGCTTAATATGGGAAAAGCCCCGAAATATAGTGCACATTAAAAAAATAAATTAAATATTTAAAACATAAAATATTTATTCCCACTCCAGGGTGGGTTTTGTAAACACTTTGAAATTTTGAAAATTTTTTAAAAGTGATTTTGGAATTCTTTTTTTCAAAAAATTTGAACTACAAATATTCGTTTTTTCTGTTTGTTTGTATTTTTGGCATTTAGTGTATTTATGCTAGGTATGTTTAAAAACTTAAAATATTAAAAAATTCAACAAAAACAAAAAAATATGAAAAATAAGAAAATAGAATTTTCTAAAAAATGTTTTGGAAAACTCAAAGCAAGCATTACGTTTTAATTTTTATTTTTATTTGTGCTGCAATTTTCTAAAGAAACCCATCTTTGAATGCATTGAAATTGCTGCTCTCTTACTCATCTTTTCATTCCCAAGTCCAACCTTCCCACATGAGAAAACATAATTAAAAAAAAAAAATTCTAAAACCATTTTTTATTAAAAATATTTGTCGTCAAAAAATATTTATGTTGAAAATATAAATTTAAAAAAATTAATGTAAAAACTTTATATTTTAAAACGACTTTTTATTAAAAAAAAATTTTGGTAGTTTACATATTTAAGTTGAAAATATAAATTTAAAAAAATTAAAAATTAATGTAAAACCGGTTTTTCTAAAACGATTTTTCTAAAACCGTTTTTTATTAAAAAATAATTTTGGTCATAACATATTTATTTAAAAAAAATTAATGTAAAAACGGCTTTTCTAAAACCGGTTTTTATTAAAAAAAAAAATTTGAACAAAAAATATTTATGTTGAAAATATAAATTAAAAAAAAATTAATGTTGAAAAACGGCTTTTAAAACCGGTTTTCATTAAAAAAAAATTTAACAAAAAATATTTATGTTGAAAATATAAATAAAAAAAATTAATGTTGAAAAACGGCTTTTCTAAAACCGGTTTTCATTAAAAAAAAATTTTGAAAAAACGGCTTTTCTAAAACCGGTTTTCATTAAAAAAAAATTTGAACAAAAAATATTTATGTTAAAATATAAATTTAAAACCGTTTTTAATTAATTCAGAATAATTAAAATCTTAATCAAAAACGGCTTTAGAAAAGCCGGTTTCCATTTTCAAATTTTATTATTATTTTAATCGATGAATACGGTTTTGTGAAAGCCGGTTTCTGAAAAACGGCATTTGAAAAACCGTTTTACCCTACTTTGGGAATAAAGATAAAAGTACACCCTAAAATGGGACTAAAATGTTCAAAATGACACAAAGAGGGAAATTGGCCCTTATTTCTGTCATTTCCCTTTCTCTCTTCGTCTTCTCTCTCTTTGAGCTTCAACGGAGTTACATCAGTCGGTTTTTGGCATTATTCGAGACAGAGCAGTTGATTCAATTTAATGAGAAGCCAACTCTTAAAAATCTTGAACATCAACCTATTTTCTACATCTAATTTTATGTTTAATTTCTGTGTTATTTATTATAATTTTTTTTTTCCGAACTTTTCCATCCTTGGAAGAATGGTAGGACCAAAAAGTGCTTTGAAGTTTGAATGGGAATTACTTTTCGTAGCAATAAAAAATAGCATTCATGTTCTTGTCTCTCAGAGAGTTTCCCATTCTAGGGATCAAAGCATCCCCCCAAGTAGGAAAAGCACTCATTAAAAGGATAGCTTCCTCACTTGGCTTTCAAGATAAGAGACTTTAAACTTCTTGATAGACTGAGACCCATACTGTGCAGTTCAAACCATTTGCAAACTCATGTCACATTCAATGAAATCACTAATATTAAGGGGTGTTTTGAGAAGATAATTCAAAATTGATTTTTTTGGTTTTTTTGTTGACCTTTTGACTTTTTTTTTTAGAGAGGAAGTGGATTAAAAAATGAGAAGTGACTTTTAACTCACTATACAAAATTAAAATACAGAATAAATTACAAAAAATATATAATAATAAGTCCTAAATGTAAATCTTTTTATACCTATATCTAATTTCAGTCTTCCGTTATAATTTCTATAAATTATTATAAAATTTATTTTGTGTGTTTAACACCGAAGACACTTGAGACTACTCACCAAACCATCCATCTCTAATGTTTGGGACATTGATGGATTTTGTCATCCAATTCTCCTACCAAGTGCATGTGCGAGACACACGTGGGTGTCATTGGCTTTTGTTACAAGAACATCTTTTTTTGTCGTTAGGGTTATAATAAACACCCTTTGCTAGAAGGCCTACACCAATGTCCAATTTTTGGATGATAGACTAAAATTTGTTATCTAAAGAGAGACAAATTAGAAATGGATTAAACTAACTATTCGGAAAGTTAGAGAGCAAAATTAATGCAACTGAAATTATAGTTATCAAATTAACAAGACAATCATAATATTAATTAAAATTATTTTGTATAGTTATCAAATTAACAAGACAATCATTAAAAAGTGTATGAACAAAACACACATTGTGAATAGTTAAAATAGTATAATGCACTCTATTTAAAGTTTGATAAACCCATTTAAAATGAAAAAATCTACTATTTTAACCAATCAGAATTTATTTTATTCACATATAATATAGTGTAAACAAAATCAGACTCAAAATTAACTAGTATGAACGTAACCCATATGCCTCCCATTATAGGGACTATTTACTAAGGCCTCGCTATGTTCTGTCCAAGGACTATACCAAGGGTTGTAACTTGTACCCACCATCTCATGAATCAGACACTACATTTGAACATCAATTTGATGTTTTCATGAGATACAAAGGCTAAAGAATATCAATGGTTTTGGTTCATGAATCAAGTTTATCAAATTCATTTCACCATATTTCGTTCAATTCCTTTCATTCCACATAATGCTTCAACACCGTGTCAAGGATTATATAATGGCTTGTGCCCACCATTTCATGAATCTAGTGCTAAGTTAGAGCCCTTGATTTGACTTTTCATGGGGTTCAGATTCGAAGATAAAAGTAGGTTGGTTCATGAATTCTTCAGATTCATTTTGTCACTACCCACAATATCGGGACACCAAGTAAAGCCAAAAACATCGTCACTTCCTCTCGTTTGGCACTCCATTTGACCGAGAGTCAATATCAGATAAATCGATTTTTCATTTTTTTTTTCTTTTGTAAAATTTAACTGTTTTGAGACAAAGGGCATAACAATCCATTGATAATTCAACTATTTCGAGCTCGGTTGAATCCCTACAAGTCACACATTGTTTTTCTGATTAGCAATCCATCAGTACAACGAACTTGTTGCATAGTGTAATCAAGTTCATAGAAACATAAAATAAAACTACAGTTAATGCATGAGCACCAAAGTGAGGTAGCAAACTAGGGAAGAGTTGCTACAAATTTTAGTCTCAATATTTAGAGCATGTTTTGTTTTTCCATCCAAATTTTCAGCTAATAAGTTGATGTTTTTGCAACTAGAGTAAAAAGAATATCAATTATCAATTACAACATGTAAGGGATACCTAATCTGCTTACAACACTCAGATCAAGCAAAAGCATGTCTTGATTCTCTTCAAAAATTATGATATTTCAATGCCAGTATATCTCCTTCAAAAACACCATGATGATCGAATCAAAATTGTGGATTCCACATGAAGCCAACAAACCTATTACCGCCATTGCATGAAAGACTAGCCTTCCAGCAGACTGCAGTTACTTCCCTATGAGCTTATAGTAGGCATACAGACCCGATCCAACAAAACCAAGCAATTGCCCAACAACATTAAACTGCAAGCAAAACAATCAGATTATCTCCTAAGAACAACACTCAAAAGAAAAAACAAAAATGAAAAAAAAAAAAAAAGGAAAGAAAAAGAGTAAAGGTCCAGTAGTAGTGCAGTATGGAGACGGAGAAAGTAAAATTCACACTCACGAAGTCAAATGGAAGCCCACCAAACACCATCCAGCCAAGTCCAATGGTGAAAAGATCCTACAGCAATACAACAACCAACAATTCACAGGACCGAAGCATTTGGTTGGACTTTGAAAGGTAGGAAATATGAAGATGTCTACAGTACAAGCAAAAAAACAAAACTCCCAATAAATGTGCAGGAACTCGCCCGAGTGAATGGTGTACATCCTTACATGCTAGTGTAGGCTATCAATTTAAACTTTAAACCCAATTCATCTCTAGAAAGATTTCCTTACATCTCATCTGACTTTAAACAATTTTTTATAAATATTTTTAATCTAATTACAATTTGAACAAATCAGCAAATAACTAAGGTGTAATTGGATGATCCTAGAGCAGCACTACTTGTTTAGGCTACCCTAGTTGGGCAGGTAGTGGAGGGCAACCCAGTGCACGCGACATCGCTAAAGCAGGGTCTAAGGGGGGCAAAATGTATGCAGTCACCACCAAGGATGCTAATGGCAAGCATTACCACTGGGCCAAGACTCCCATTTAATTGGGTAGGTAGCACATAATGATACACATTTGCTAAGACTACAATCATATTTGTGAGAATTGTTCATGCAAGTAGAAAAAAGGCACTTGGTAAACAAACCTTCAAATTGCCACAAATTGTCTGCGTGAGTGCTGAATTAAGAGTTGTGTTTAGGAATATACTGTAATTCAAGAAGAAAGCCAATATGCAGGATAGAAGCAACACAGCCTGCCATTTACAATAAATGAACAAATCAACAAGAGCAATACCTTTAATCGGAGGATCCCAATTTGTTAGCATTGTTGTAATACAGAGCAAGACATAAGTGCATACAAAAATGATTATTACAAATAAGGTTAATGTTGCCGACAAAGTCATCAAACCCAAATCCTCATTTCTTAGTCAACTTTCATAATTTCTACAAGAAACAATCAATAATTTACCACATCAGCTTTTGGCTGATATTCAATTCAAGCAGCACAGACAACACTCAAAATCCAATTTCTCTAGTTTTCATCTACCACCATTAGAACTCAAATTTGATTCGGAAGTACCTCTTTCATTCTTCAATTATCATCTCGTGGATGCACATGTTGTATTTCATTAGGGTTCAGATTTAAATGTTATGCTTAATTCGAGAAAATGGTATTTTAAAAAATTATAAAAAAAAAGACTATAAAATGAATTTTGTGTAAATTGGTCAAAATATTCAAGAGTAAATTGTTCTTTTTGAATTTGATGGACTTAACAGTAGTGGGTAAGAGATAGAGAGAGAGGGGGGGGGGGGGGGGGGGGGGAATGATGATAAAAGCAGTCATCATGAGTCACCACTATGGAAGATGATTGATGGTGATTTTGGTTATGGATAAGCTTATGCAAATCTATCTTTAATACTGATGCAACAAGAAGTAGCCAGGCTAATTAATCGCAAACATACAAAGCGTTAAGAGGTTCAGAAAAGATCAGAAAAAGAGATGCAGAAACTAATTAATGACATAAAATGCTAGCACAAACACAAATGACATTTGAAAACTAAAAACAATTTTCAGGTCACATTTGAAAAGCAGCATGAAATTGGACAGAAATGAAATTCCAGCCTCTTGTATCCATGAGACAATGTTCCTGCGTATCTAAATCAAGTTTGCAACCAAAGAAAAAATTATTGGACTAAAACTAAGAAATTTTTATCGATGGTCAACAAATTACCAGAAAGCCAGGAGAAAACAGATATGGAAAATTCAATGTCATCTCCAAGTCACCCCGAATAAATGTCCAGAACAATAAGAATGGCCCACATAATATTCCTACATCAAAAAAGTAAAATGATTTTATCTCACAGTTCTAGAATTTAAAAGAACCATATTTAAGAAGTTCTGTAATGTCCACAGGTTTTTTGTTTGTTTTGAGCTCTGTTAACTTACCATTGCACCACATGAGACCAAAGCTATTGAGGCCACTAGATTTTCCTGTGAAAATGAAAGTATCAGCAATGAAAAGAAGAGACGTGAAGCCAATGAAAAAGATCTGTGAAAACAAAAGAATTACTACCAATACGGGCTATGGTTGCGAGATATATTGCTGTAGTGATGTTGGCCATAAAAACAACAGCATAGCCATAGGAATCAAATGACAAGTCTCGAGCCCCAGCAATAAATGCACCAATAACGATCAATGCCACACTGATAACACCTTATGTTTTTGGTTAAACCGAGGAATTAGAAACATAAAAATTCAAGTAAAAGTTGAAATATCTATTTGATGTTGGAAAAAAAATAAAGATAAAAAATAAAAACAATTTCAAATATCCAAACCAAAGCTTGAGATGTTATGCACTATTATTTACATTTTGATGTACCAAAGAACCCAAGAGTTCATACTCAGATTTGAGTGAAACCAAACAGAACACAAGAATTTGTCCATACATAGCCTGGCGATGGAATATCACATGTTAAACCATAGTCACTAAAATTATGTATTGTACAGTGAACTACTTCCTAAATATTTGGTATTCCCGTATTGAGTATTGGCAGACAATCCCCTTTTTTTGGTTTCTTGTTTTTGTTTGATACATCATATATTAACGAAACAGCAAAAAATGCTTTTTTTTTTTTAATAAGCACAAAAATGCAAGTATGCTATAATCAGAAAATGCAAAATAATTTCTCTCCATAAAAAGTGTATGGTCAAATACCTTTGCTCCCTCACATTATCATTAATAATTAGGATTACACCACATAACTAAGCCATTCATATAACATATCCTGGATCCAGACTCGACTCAAACTGGTATTGCATCGAGTCTTACCTGATGATGATACAAGTGTCTTGTGAGTAGGTGTGTGTATCCAAGGTTTATCCAACCCGTACATAGGGTTCCTCATCATAAAAACAAAAAAAAGTGAAACTTTAGTCGTAAAACCTTTTTTTTTTCTCTCTCTCTCTCTAACTACAGACTATATACTTCATGGGCAATGCATCGACATTTTCAAGTTCTAAGTTGGCAAAAAGTTTTCGCCGTTAATAACGGTATCATTGTACATCAACATTTCACATATTATTGCTTGGTCATGTAAAAGCAAGAACAAAATAGCGCCTATATGAATCTTTGTGCAAAAAAAAAAATCCAAAATTAGACAAGTTACGCCTGTACATAAAAAATGGTCTGGTTGTATTGCATGGTATGCTAAAAAATACATGCTTATAGGTGCTTATCATGATGTTAATGCCAAAATATGAACCAAACAATAAGTCATATTATCAAATTACTCAAAAGGAAGAAAGAAAAAGTGCCTCGCACATGCATCGGTAAGTGCTATCAATTTTTAATGTTTCTAAACGTATCAGGTGACTTCTAAAATTCAAAAATTATATTCCAATATTAGTATTCAGCTCCTCAGAACAACCAATCAAGTGCATTCCTAAGGTCAGAATATGCAAACATTCATTGACCATGGTTGAGAGATGAAGTCAAAATAACATTTTAAATTTAAACCACCAGAAATCACCATCGTCATCATCTCTAAATGACCAAAAGCATACTACACACTGTAAGCAAAAGAAGCAGTTAGAAAGAGCAATTTACCTTCCAACAACAGACGAGGTGTACTTCTGCCCTGCCAGAACATACTCAACAAGCATTGTAAATACCACAGTTGTCCTTCTAAGGGTGGTGTACATGGGCACATTTACTCCTCGGACAGACTCCATGGTAACTAGCTTTCAAGGACAAACCGAACAGTGGCTATAAATTATTTACAACTAGAAGTGAAACTTAGAATATTCCATCAAAAGAAAAAGCTCTATGTTAAACAGTCAAATGCCATACCATATAAAGCAAATAGGTCAGTGCAAGAGGTGAGGTGCGGATCAACGTCTTTAATGGAACAAATGTTGGGGAGTTATCAGCTAAAGGCAAGGATTCACCCACACTGAAAGATATAAGCTTCCAGCGTCTTAATGCATAAAGAAAAGCACATGAGCATATCATCTGCAGCAGATACAAACATACAAGACTGAAATGGATTAAAATATAAATAAATAAACAAATAAAACTACACAAGAGGTCAGAATCCGTCTTAACATACGGCTTCACATTCAAATGGGTGCAGCCTAAACAGTAGAAGTAAATGATAAAAAAATAAATAAATAAAAGAAAGAAAGAAAGGAAACGAAAGCTAAAACGTACAATTTACAAGCAGGGAAAACCAATGCAAACTAAAGAGTAGCAAAATTATAAGAAGCGAAAGGTATCATGATCAGGATCGTTTGCTTGATTAGAAAAAGTGCATCAACTTTGGAAACCTAAAACAACACCTAATTAAATTAATAGAACGCTGCTTTTAGCTACAAGAAAATGGTGGGATCAATTTTTACAAGGCATTAAGAAAATGTTGGTTGATAGTTATGATATGGAGTAGCGACAACTACTCATTTAGCATATTCGATTATAAAGCAAAAGTCTCCATTTCAAGGAAGCCATGAGCAGCTCATCAACTTAAAAAGTAAAAGCCCCCAAATCATTCTGCATTGAATGATATCACCAACTGCAACTAAATGATAAATAATAGATAGATAATTTGCCGTCTTTGGTTTCACTTACTTTTGTACAAATACACTACCTTTTTTGTCTTCATTATACAAAGTTACAATAATGCCCTTCTTGCCGAGGGGGGGGGGGGGGGGAAAGGCAAAAATAATTGCCCCACCCTTAGGGACATTGTTGTAATTTCATATAATAGAGAAAAGAAAAAAAGTCATGCATTTGTACAAAAGTGGAGTAAGCATAACTCCACTATTTTTTTTTTTGGTTATTTTCCTTTCAATTTAAAATAAAAAATTAAAATCGATAATCCAAATTCCTTCTTAGAAAAATAAAATTCACCTATGACAAAAGAAAAGGATAAGTCAAATAATGGTAGTTTGCTTCAGAAATTAATAGCCTGGAAATCAAAATACTGGTTCAACATGTCAATTACAGTGATCAAAACTTCATCAGGATATGGGTCAAAAGTAGACAACTAGTTAAAAAATGAGACCAGCAGCTCCTGGAAATCATGTTCATCAACTTCCTACCTGGAAGAGAGTGATGACATTTGCACATGGGAAACTATAAGAAGAAAGAGCTGCTTTGTTGAACAGTATCAACAGCACTGCAAAATGGAAAATGGAGCTATAAGATAAGCTAATAACAAAATCTTTTAAAGGAAATATCATGAGAAGCAGAAATACGAAGGCTTAAGCATCCATGATATAGCGAATTAAGGAAAGCTCTTGTGATGCTGAGGGCATTGGCCTTCCTAGGTTTCTGTCAAATTAAAGATCTACCTCCAAGTTTAACATTAAGTAACAATCACCTCAATGGCTTCAAACATTTTACATTAAAATCAAGTTCATGTCATTTTGCCTCTAAACATACTCAATTTATTGGGTCATAACTTGTTACACTACCAAGAAAATAAGAGGAAGTCCTGCATTTTATATCTTAAGCACAAATTGGAAAGATGGCTCACATGTAAGAGAGTATGGGCAGAAGGGCCTCAAATTCAATCAACATCAAGAATCTTAAGCACAATGGAGAAGCAACAAACATCTAGGAGCAGGCAGCTACAAGACTACCACTTAATTAGCCTAACAAATTTTCAAAGTCAAATATTTTCTCAAGAGAAGACATAAACAATTAGCCCTGGAAAATTTATCAGCAACATTTAGGGGTTGTTTGAGATGATCTAAATAAGTGCATTTTTTGACTTTTTATGAAATATGTGTTGGGTTTGGTTTGGGTTGGGTTGGGTTGGGTTGGGTTTGAAGTGATGTGCAAGAGAGGTGATGTGACTTAAATAAGATGATGTGACTTAAATCGGATAGTGACTTTTTGACTTTTTGGCTTTTGTCAAACATGCCAAACCAACCCTTAGATTGAAAAGGAAAGGGAAAAATCACTAAATAAGAAAGACCCTCATTGTTAATTTATTTTTAAAATACATTTATGACTTGCATTCTTTTGCTTAATTCATTGCCCTTCGACTAATAATATGGGAATTCATCAGCAAGCTATTACATAAATCCCTGAAGTTTCCAACTTTCAAGTTACTAAACAAGGCACCTATGAAGCACGAACACCTCTCCGGAGGTCACGTACAGGCAAGGTTTTAAAAAGCGGCCGCAACCGTTACGTAACGCTGTTACGTAACGGTTTTGGCGGTTACCGCCACCCGTTACGGCCGCTTTTGCAGTGTGAATGAGATTCACAGGTGTGTCGGTCGTAGCGGCTACCGTAGCGGTCGTAACGGTGCCGTAACAGCCGTAACGGCCTGTTACGCACCGTTACGTAACGGTTCCAAACTGTTTCTTTCAAAAAAACACACAAAAAAAAGCTGAAAATGGGGGAAAAGGGATGGAGAGAAGAGGGAAGATAAAGAGAGAAAATGGAGGAGCAAGAGATAGAGAGAGAGAAAAGGGAAGATGATGAACATGTTATTGATTTGTTGAAACTGTAAGACCTATGCTATTCTATTCAGCTGCTATCACTAAACCATTTTGTTCGTGTGTGTCTATCTATGTATTGTTTGAAAATAATAATAATAATAAGTGTGGTCATTATCTATTTGGCTTGGTAAAAATATGTATATATATATTTAGACTCTTATTTATTCTCTTACTTTTGTCATTATTTATCTTATATATAATAGTTAGTGATTGATTTTTTGTATAATATAAAGTCATTAATTATTAAAATAAAATGTAAAAAACTCAGTTTATAGTTATTTAAAAATATGAAATATATTGAATCATATTTAAAAATTTACAAAAATTGATCAATATTTATTTTTAACCCAATAAATATGATCATGGAAAAAAAATATGCATATCGGTAAGTTTTTTTCAAATTGTGCGAAAAATAAAAAAATTCACGGTTCCGGTTACCGCAACCGTTACACTACGGCCTTTACACCCCGCAACCGCAATCGCGTCACCGCCACCGTTACGGCGACCGCAACCGCTTTTCAGAACCTTGCGTACAGGTGTTCGACACATGTCGGACACGTTGGAAAGGGTTGAACACGTTGGGACACGCTGCGGACACGTTAAGACAAACTGAGAACACATAAGAGACACATTGAGGACACGCTAGGGACACGCTGAGGACACACTAGGGACACTCTAGGGACACACTGAGTACTATTTTTTTCAAAAAAAAATTATAATTTTCAATTTTTTACTAAAATAGCATAGCTAAAAGTTGATAAATTTGGTGAAATTAAATATTTGACATAAAATACATATTAAATATTTAAAAATATACATATAATAAAAATATAAAAATATATGTTTTGAGTGTATTCCCAACGTGTCTTGTCTTGTATTTTTTGAAAATTTGCGTGTCCGTGTCTGTGTCTCTTAGCAAGGCACTAATAGCATGGGTAGTCTGTAGGCAGGGAGGTAGGTTCTAGAAAGAATAAGCACAGGACCTGCTCAACATTATCTTAATTTCCAAAGACTTGAAAGCAGTGATGCATGGCAAGGATTGGATCAATCACTATTTTCTTAAGGTATGTATAATTACAGCGTAAAGACAATTTGATCAGACTCAATTACTCCTAAAATCTATGAAGCTTTTAAAAAACAATAACTCAAGAATTAAGCCAGGAGTCTTCTCCACTAAATTTTAAATTTTTTGATAAGCTCTGTAGATATATCTGTGATTATCAGAGAAACATAAACATTTAAAACAATCACTTACGCTGTGTTTGGTTCGTGATTTGGGAAGGGAAGGGAAGAGGAAAAGGTAGGTGAAATATGTGTAAAATATAACTACATTTCACACACTTTTTCCCTTTCCAAATCCCTTCCCAAGTCCACGAACTGAACACAGCCTTAGTAGTGTACAAAGCCCTGACCAGCATCATGACATGTCATCATCCCAATAACATCTCAAACAAAAATTCTCCAATATTTCAGATTCTTTTCTTGTAAACCCTAATTTTCTGAATCAAACTTTCATCATAATTGGACTTGCTCAGTTCAACCACATGAAGTTCACTGACAGCTGACTTCAATGAAAATATTCAAATAAAATAAATGAAATTACAACACAATTTTTGTGCAAACCAGAAATAAATCAACGAAGATCCATCACGAAACAAACAGTTCAAAAACATTCGAAGAAATGATTGAAAATTGTAACATCCGAGTGCGTCAAATTATAGACCTATTCTTGTTCAAATTGTTCCTCTCTTTCTCGCACCTGAATTATATTGATTCTTTGTTGAACCGACTGAGAATTGTGTATAGATTTGGAGATGAAAATACATACCAGCACAAGACATGTAAGAGATTGCAGCGGAAGCACCTCGTTTAGTCATTCCAGATCCTTTGAAGAGTCTCTCGTCTCCTCTTGGAGGATCTGATACTGGTAATACCATATTGCTCTTCGATGAACTTGATGCCATTAGAGAGATCTAAACTCTCTCTCTCTAAATCGTATCTCTCAACTCTCTCCCTCTCTCTCTCTCTCTCTCCCCCCCTCTCTGTATGGACATAGGTATCGGAAAATTCAACCATACACAGCAACGAACTCGGTCAAGCTGACTAGCTGAGTCGTAACTCATAAAACAATTTACCGTAATTTTAATTTTTTGAAATTTGTATTTTTTATTTTTCGTATTTTTTTATTAAATTTTTTTAGTATGTAATTTTTTAAAGAGAAAGTTGATAATAAATTCAATCCAAGTATAAAGAGTTTTTTAAAAAAAATATTCCAAAAAAAAATAATTAGATAATTGACTCACTTTTCAAACTATTTAGAAAAGTAACCTACTTTTTGAAATCGCATTTTCAAAATGCGATTTTGAAATTGAAATTGTATCTTGAACATGCAATTTCACCTTAAAATCGCAAGTTAAAAATGATGACATAGTGAAATTGCATGTTCAAAATGCGATTTTAATGTAAAATTGCATGTTGAAAATGTAATTTCAATTTCAAAATCACATTTTCAAATGCGATTTCAAAAACATGTTAGTTTTCCAAATAGTTTAAAAAGCAGGTCAATTCTCCATATAGTTTCTTTTTTTGGAATATTAAAAAAAAAACTCAGGGTATAAGTTATTAGATTTAGTAAATATTTTTTATTAGCGGGGGATTCACTGTTTGCGAAATAGTTTTGTGAGAAATTTTTTTATTTGTTTTGAAGAACATTTTGTTTCAATTTTATCCCCACTTCTAGAGCGCCTCCACGGCCAACTCGAAGTTGGTTTATAAATAAACAAAGAAAGATGGCCGGATCTATTCATATTGGCAGCGATTATCACAAATCGGGTGCCTTTAGCTCTACCGTTGACAAGCTTATCATCTTTCTTCCTCTTGTTTCTCCTCCTCTCTCTCGTTGTCGAAAGAAGGAGTCGTGGTCGCTGATGCTGCCGAAGCCGTAAAGCAAAGAGGTTGATAGAGATGTTGAGTGCGTCAATGAGGTGGTATAGGTGGTGGTAAAGGAGTGTGAGGGGATGTGGTGGAGAGAGAGAGAGAGAGCTGCAGACAGAGAGTGAGACACAGAAAATGGTTTTTGTTAGGGTTTGATTTGGAACCATAGATATATATATGGATATTTTAGTCATTTCGTAAACGCTTGTCCTTATGGACACAATAAATTAGCATATGGACTTATGGACATAAAAAATACAAGATTGGAGCTCGAACACCCTTTTTTAAATTCTTAAATATATTTAATATTGATGATACAGTGTGTTTCAAATGGAACGGGTCGGACTTATCCACGCTTCCCAAACCAGTGTCCGAATGACCAAGCCCACAGTGGAACCTGCACAAGAGTTCAACGGGGAACGGGAGTCCCCCAGCGAACCCTCCAACGAGCAAGTTAGAAAGAGGGACGGAATGTAGAGAGATTAGAGATAGATAGCTTAACTTTCTTCTTGTTTTCGACGTCTGCTTATATCATTCGGTAATCATTTCATTGTCCCTTCCGACCTGCCATCTTGACCGAAAGTCTATGCTCTAGTTTGCCTTGTTCATGGTGAGGCTGTTCTGTCTCGACGGGGAGGAGTTATCGCAATAAATGCTGTAAGGGTTTCATTAATAGCTGATATGCAATGCAGTGCAATAACTTTGCAGGATCTTTGTCTACTTATGTGGCTTGTCCTTCACCTGCCACGTATCTAAGTGTCATTGGTTCTTAATGCCATGTTGAGTTCCAACCATGCTGGGCTTTATTAGTTGAATTATGCATTGGACCCTAAGTGGTGGGTTTGGGTTGTTCATAATGGGTTATAGTCTTTATGGGCTTACCCATGTCAAATATAAAATACATTTAAAAAGTATAATATTTGTAAAAAAATATTTTAAAAATATGAAAATTCAATATATTTTCGTATTCTTATTTATTTATTGATTTTTTAAAATATTTTTATAAATATTTTACCTTTTAAAGACATCTAGATAAGGTACATCTATAAAGTTAAAAAAAATTAAAAAAAAATAAAAAACTGAAAAGTTTAAAAATATTCACTAAAAATAAAAATAAAAAAACTCAATTTTTCCTTAAGTACTATTTTTGAAAAATCAAAAAAATATGATGTGTGTTGATTCTTATGATGTGTGGAGATGATAATACGATGTGTGTGATGTAGGCCTCAATGCATGCTAAGTCCTTGTCTTCCTCCCATATCTACAGATTTTATACAAATAAGTAACGATGAATGCAAGATTCCCCTCATTTTGTATCACATTTAATAGTCCATTAATGTTTTTTATTTAATTCCATTTTCATTTTTTTCCATCTGTGGTCATCCATTCATCCAAAATGCCAAATTTATTAACAAATTATATTATTATCTCCTTTTATTAATGGGCATTTTAATGGGCAATCAGTTTAGCGTGCTTGCACGCAACCCCTCACTAGTATTAAGAAAGTGTCCATATTTTCTCAATTTTTTTTTGTCGAACACATCATTGAAAAGTCAAGAAGAACGTGCATCAAAACTGTAAATAGAAATTGTTAAAATAACTATTGGCGATGATTAGAGTTTTTTTTAAAAAGATATTCCAAAAAAAAAAACCTAATTAGAGAATTGTTTCACTTTCACAACTATTTAGGAAAGTAACCTACTTTTTAAATCACATTTTCAAATGTAATTTGAAATTGAAATTGCATCTTGAACATGCAATTCACCTTAAAATCGCAAGTTGAAAATGATGACATCGTGAAATTACATATTCAAAATGCGATTTCAAAAGCAGGTTAGTGTTCCAAATAGTTTAAAAAACGGGCCAATTCTCTAAATAGTTTCTTTTTTGGAATATTAAAAAAAAAAACTCGGGATTATATTTGTGTTAAAAAATATATATTTATATAATAATATATAAAATATTTTAAATAAACAAAAATTACATGATAATGATCTCTCTAAAAATAAGCACAGACCAGTGAAATTCTTTATCAATCTTAATAATGAAAATCATAAAATTTTCAATGATTTTGTAAATATTTTTTTAAAGTAAACCAAGTGCATAAATAAAATGACAATCACCTTATTTGGTTTCAAATTTA